ACGTTTCAGAAACTTCAAATATTTCTCTAACAAAACAGTATAAAAGTTTAGTGATTGTCCCCTTTTTCAAAAAATTGTCCCGTTCGAACATTTTCCGTGCAAAAGCGAGTTTTTGGGCTTTCAGCGACCATAACTCACTTCATTTTCATTTCTGTGATGCACTTTTTTCATGGGGTGAAAGTACAGGATTTGCTCTTTCTAACAAGCACCAAACCGTTTTTCAAAATCATTTTCCGAGAAAATCACACGTTCGAACATTTTGTTCCCATAGGTTTTTGAGCAGCACATGCGAGTTTTTGAGCTTTCAGCAATAATAACTTCCTTCAAAGAACTTGTTGGGGAGGGCGAAGACATTTTTGAAGACTACGAGATTTCTGCTTTCTTATGTGTTTTACCGTTGTCTGGAAGAATCGTCCTCAGAAAATTAGGTCCCGAAGAACTTTTTTCAGCCCCGAGAAGTCAAACCTTTCATAGGGATGCATTCAACTGTTCTTTATTCCAAGAAAACACCGTAATTTGCCTAAAACTGTCTCTCTGTGCATAATAAATCGAATCTAATGCGGTCTGCACAAGCAATTCTTGCCCTCGGATACGCCACGCACGCGCCTGTGGCTGGCAGTCCTCGAAATTGCGACCCCCTTCCGACCAAAATGCGACCCCTTCGTTCGAACAGTTCGAACGGACGGTTGACCCTGGTTCAGGCTGCGAGATAGCCATAAGGCGTGCCGCGTGTTGTTGTCGTAGTGGACTCATGACTCATCTCCACTGGTGACCGACTAGGGAAAGTCCAGGCTATGCCTGCGCAGAATGAAATTTCTGCAGATGGTCAGGTCTGCTTCTCGGTCATGGTCAGAGATGCATGCCGTTCCCATCGAAACTTCATTCTGCTACAGCCCGTTTCATTCAGACAGCTTGCGGTGGTGCATCGGCTGTGCCCAGGTATCTGCTACAAATCTCAGGTGGTAGCGTCCGGTGAACTTCCGATTCACAGCGCAATGGATCCTCATCGAAAGTGACTGGGGCCAGGATGAGGTCAAACTTTGCAGCTTGTATCGCCTTTGCCGATGCTTTGAGCCAATAGCTCAGTGCCCGATCAGTAGCAAAGACTGAGGCAAACACAGCGCTGGTCTTGCCTACTGCACTCCTTGCAAGGTTCTTCTTTAACACGTTGACGACAGGCTGACGCGCATGCGCGTCAGAATTTTGCACCGCATCGGACATTCTGACGCGCATGCGCGTCAGAACTATGTCATTCATTTTTATTGTGCTTGCGCTCCTTCTTCTCGAGTTTTTGTATTCATTCTATAGATAATACATTAGCATAACTATAAACCACATGGCAGCCAGAGTGGTCAAATATCCCTTGATTTAGCAAAGATTTTCTGAACGCACAAAACTTTCATTTCAATTCTTTCCTAGTATTCCTTTCACTGTCGTAAACATTCATATGAAAGATTGTAGAAGCAGTTAATACAAAACTCTGTGAGTTTCAAGATATTTGTATTTGATGGAAGAACTTAGGTATAAATGCTTTTAACTTCATTCGCAGCGAAAGTGATGTTTTTTGCTTCTTCGTGGTCATTATGCGTTCTTCTAAACAAAAATCTACTGCTATTTATATAGTTAACCTTTATGCTTTCATCCTTGCCGAAATAATTCTATGAGATTCAAGTTGTTGTGCATTTTAAACAAAAAAATAAGCGGAAGTAAGGTGAGGACGGCGCGCTCGCAAAATCGCTCCTGTCCCACGCGGTGCAAAATGCCAAAACACGCGATGTCGTCAACGTGTTAAATGATCGTTCAGCATAAATGCCTGCTTTGGTCGTTGATCCATTTCGATCCCTACTTACTTATTCCACTGCCCTTTGACCTTCTGGAACATCCTAGTTTAAGGTACTGATGCCTCCTTCAACATACTAACTTATTTCGTAATGACACTAATTTGACATGAAGAAAATTGATTCTGAAAAAAATTCGGCCAGGAATTATGGATCAACCCAACACAGACCTCCTTGCTCTGCGGGGAAGCCTAAGAGGCAGACGGCGAAGTAAGAGATTATGTGAGGTGGAGTGGGTGGAAAAACTTCAAAAGAGCACAGGTGTCAAACGATGGACAGGTGCGGTTACCGCCCGGGCGTAAGTTTTCAAAACCATCTAGGTGGCATTTTTTTTTGGCGCCTATACATTCCGCTGGCATTCCAAGTTGTTAAATTATCGCGACCTCTACAGTTGCGGACCCAGCTTCCACCACGAAAGCCTTATCAGTGAGGCAAAGCTTGACCTTTGCCTTTGAATCCAATGGGAAACTCAGTTTAGATGCGTGTACACCGCCTTGTTGTTCCCACTTCTTCTGAAGAAACTGTGCCCTGATCAGAAATAGAAATATTTATTGTTGTCATTTCCTATGTACAACGAATTCCAATACTGACACAACTCAGCCATACAGAAACACAGACAGTTAAGACACTTTCCATGCAAACACGGCAGAACTGATGACAACATGAGGTTAACGATAAACGGCATCTAGTAAATTAAGTGATGTTTGAAGAGATCACAATAATTACGATTTACAACACGAGCAGCGAAACATCGCTCCCACCGTTTCTTTACATACCAACACAACACTTGAACAACCATAACACTTATTTTTGCACATTTCCCTCAATTAGAACTCGCAAACTTCATGTTCGAGCTTCTAATCAACTTTTTCAGCTGACTTCACTATAGCGGTCTTCTCCCTCTTCACTAGATATGCTGTATTGAAGAATTTAGAAAACAAGATGAGGAATGACGCGTAGATAGCGAAACATATGGCAAGATTGTCGAAAGACTGCTGACACACCTTAAAAATGAAAATCAAGCTTTTGTACAAACTTACTAACAGAGTCAAAAAGATTTTCGAATAAATATAATAACTATAGTATAATATAATAAAATGTAATATACCCTAATTCTCGGTAGTATCCAGGCTCGCCTCGATCGCACATAAAACACCGCCTCTGTGGGCAGTGGCACTTGCTGCACATCTCCGGCAACGTAACGGCGTGCCGCATAAGGGCGATGTGCTGCTGACGAATTGTATGTGTATTTTTCACGGTGCTAGTCAATCTGGCGCGGTGGCGTCAAATCTCACGATCCTGTGTTATTTCCCAAAAATTGATGTAAACTTCTGTGTGGGGCTATTTGATGCCATAATTGCGAATATGACATTCGCTTTTGGCATTAACGTCATTCAACACATATTTCTTGGTTAGAGAGTTCACACAAGCAGAAAATAGGCGCCAAATAGCGCCAGCGCCGAGAATGAATGTCTTACTCGTAATCAGGATGTCAAATAACCCCTACACGGAAGTTTGACCAAATTTGGTGAACACAGGCATCGTAATAAGGTGACGCCAACTGGCGCCAGATGGTGCCACGGCTAAAAATGAAGGACATTTTCGTAATCAGGCGTCGGGTTACCTCTGTAGGCAAATTTACGGGTAGTTTCTAAGTGTCCAAATACTTACATCCCTGCACGGCGGAGGTGTTTCCTACGTAAGATCCGGCGGGCGGGCTTATCTAACCGGGAAATAAAAGTACGAATAATCTGCTGTAAAATACTGAGCGCGACCTTCCTCAGAGCCTATCGTTTTGCTTAATCATTCCAATCGATTCTGTGTAAATTCGGCGGCGCCCGGCGGGCCGGGCCCGGCCGTGCGGCGGCGGCACGCGCGGCGGCCGACCCCGGCGCGCGCCGCGGGGAGGGCGCCGCCAGGGGGGGGCCGGGCCATTATATATTTCGGGGGAATATTTCACCGAATATCATGATTCCATCTAACCCATAAATCACCGGTTTTAAACCCATTATTCACGATAAGAACGAAACGAACAAAAAGCCATGTTTGTTTTGGTACAATTCAAAAACCCTGACTCTTACGCGCTCAAATCCCTGCTCTACATTTATTTATTTATGGCAACTCAACTGAGTGCGCCAATGGAAAGAATGGGACAGGAAAAAAAACTCCAGAAGACTCAGCCAGAACCAAGAAATTTGAACTGAGCCAGCAATGGTGGTATTCCGCTGAATTTCCAGTATGTTTTGCGGGTTGCAAACGCTGGCGACGGTGAACAAATCCACTTGGTTCACGGGGTTGCTTGCTGTTACTAGAAACCCCATTCGGCCTTTCCCATCTTTTTTGGCAACAACATTTCTCCTTTCTATTGAATTCTACTCTTTCGACGGTTTTGACTGTATTGTGCAATTTCAATGCGTCGTCTGCTACGCTGACGCCCAAGGCGTACTTCTCTAAAACGTATCGCCCCTTGTTTCCGCTCGACCTACCCTCGACCGTCCATAAAACGTGATTGTAATTTTGCTTCTCTTAGTGAATCTTCTTGTGTGAAACTTCGTACTGTCTCTAATGATCACACCTTACATATTCATGTGGGAGAATGCGAGAATTCTTCTCGGTGAATCCTTTGAGCCTTGATTGTTGTATAATATGCGTGCTGATTCTCACACGTAAGCATACAAAAATGGGTGTAGGTGATTTAGTGGCAGGCGGCTCCATCAAAACGCGCAGCCCGGGGACGAATCCTAGATTGTGAGCGCCGAGCTTAACAAACGGCTCGGCATCCGCTGGCAGTCGATCACTAGTACCGAATTTGTCTAGAAGTATGGAAATAGTATTGGCTGACCCCACAATTCAATGTATGTGGCAAACTGCACTCAAATGCCACAACAATTCTAAATGGAAGTATAGAAGCATGACGTCATATGGGAGAGGGATTGACCAACACCGACTGATCATACTACCTTATCCACGAAACACCCACAATTGATAAAGGAATCGAAAGTCCACGTAGAAAGGCTTTGTATTCACTGGCATTGGTGAGGTAAATTCCGCGAAAATGTTACCTTGATCAAAAATCCACAATTCCGGTATCCCTGTCTCAAAACAACCATCGCTGTTACTCGCCAATACGAGATGGTTTCGAAGCGATTTTTTGCATGTTTGTCCAAGGCAAATGATATGTAAAAAAAAGTCATCGCTAGGTATGAAAGTATAGATGGCAAACGATGCAGCGCTGAAGGAAAAAGCCAAGAGAAATGGGCCGAAACCCGCTAAAAATTTTTTGCTGATTGAGTTCCGCGCTTGACGAGATCTTATGGTAGATGATGTCAACAATCTGGACTTCATGTTTGCCTTACACGTTCTCGCCGCAGTTTACAACCTCTAACCCCCTCCCAGTCATAGGTGAGAGCGCCACCTTGGGGAGGGGGGGGGCGACTACCCACGAAAGCTGCGGTCATCACAGATGAGGCCTTGCTGGTACATTTTGCTCGATCTTGCCTAGCCTCCCTTTACAGTAGGCAGATCTGCACCTCTTCAATATCCAACATATCGTACCCATCCGGCTTTAAAAGATGTAAACTGAAATCGCGCAGTCTCCTAGAAGCCATCCGATT